TTTACCTATTGTAAATATTGCTGCAATAAACATAGGTGTACAGGTGGTCTTTTGAATCAATGTTTTTGTGTCCTTTGGGTAGATCCCTAGTAGTGGAATTGCCAGGTCATAAGGTAGCTCCATTTTTAGTAGATTGAGGAACCTCTAGACAGCTTTCCATAGTGGTTGGACCAGTTTGCACTCCCACCCGCAATGTAGGAGAGTTCCTTTTTCACCACATCCTCGCCAACATTTGTTGTTGCTTGTTTTGATATGTGTCATTCTTACTGGTGTAAGGTGGTATCTCAATGTGGTTTTGATTTGCATTTCCCTGATTGTAAGGGATGTTGAACATTTTTTCATATGCCTGTCGGCCATTTGCATTTCCTCTTTGGAGCAATGTCTTTTAAGTTCTTCTTCCCATTTCTTGACTGGATTGTTTATTTTGTTTTTGTTGAGCCATATAAGTTCTTTGTATATCTTTGTGATCAGTCCCTTATCAGTTGACTGGGGTGCAAAGGTTTTTTCCCAATCAGTGGGGTGTCTCTCTGTTTTGGTTAATGTCTTTTTTTGTTGTACAGAAGCTTTTCAGTTTGATGTAATCCCAGGTGTTTATCTTTTCCTTGACTTTCTTTGCTTTGGGTGATGAGTCTTTAAACATATTATTGTGATGTATGTCTTGTAGTGTTTTACCTATATTTTCTTCTTTAACTCAAATGCTCAAAAATAGATGACTCAATCAAGAAGATGTGGCATTATACACAATGGAATATTATTCAGCAATCAAAAAAGATAAACTCATGCCATTCACAGCAATGTGGATAGAACTAGAAGGAATCATGCTCAGTGAAATAAGCCAGAAGGAAAAAGAAAAATATCAGATGGTTTCACTTATAGCAGGAATATAGGGGAAGCAAATAAGACATTGGTGTAAAAAAATAATAACAGCACAAAAGACAACAAAGCAATAATGGACAATTATAAATCAGAGACATACTGCAGAGGTGGAGGAGGGAGGAGCACAGGGGACTGAAGTTGTTATAGGGCAGCCCCGATACAAAACGGGGTGCCTGACTGTGGGTCCTCACCCGCGTGCTTGAAAGGACTTATCAATGCTCTACTGCAGGCACACGCGAAAGGTTAATAAAAGGTTTATTTACAAGGGAAGGGGAAATGAGGAAATGTACAGCTCAGGGAGAAAAGTGGGAGACAAAGTTTTAAATGAGTCCTACCTGATCCGCCGATCTGGAATCCCAAATGGCACTCTGAGAGGTGGCTGCAAGCCAGGAGCCGTGAAGCCAGGAGGCGAGCGATAGCGAGCCCCCCAAGACCCACGTGTTTGGTTTTTATACCCAACCTGGCTGCTTAACTCCACCCTCAGGTCCCAGCCACCTTCCCTTTGGTGATGATGGAATTTGTCTTTCCCAATGTCTTGATGGCTTTAGTCCAGAGTGGGAGTGGAGTCCACAAAGCCTGTATGGGATTAGCTCAGGACACCATTTCCCCCTAACAAAGTGATGGTACACGGGTGTATTGGTGAAAGAAACTCTTAGGGCTACACCTGAGGGGGTGGAGGAAGCAAATATTGTTTAAAAATGAACAATGATGTAAAAAAAATTTTAAAAAAATTTAAAAAATTGATTACCAAAAAAATAATAAAAAATAAAATAAAATATACTATAATCAACATGTGAACTGAAATTCCTGGAGATTTAGGCAGGAGTAATATCCAAGATAGTGATAGTAAACTAGAAGCTAAAATCTGGAGAGATGAGTGGCAATTACCCAAGGATCAAGAAATGTCACCAATAGTGAAGAGCAGTAGGTGGTAGAATGTGATGATGTTAAACTCACTCTGAGAGCAAGGAGAACACTGACTTCATCTGCAGGCCCTTTAGAAAGAGAAAATGGGAGGAAGAAGCGAGGAAGTATTGTCCCCAGCAGAGCCAGGTTTTCTTCAGAGCAAGAAGGTGATTGGGATGATCAGAGAATAGACTGATCATCTAGAGGATTAGAGAATAGTTTGGCTGAATGGTAGGACTTGAGTTCAAGCAAGCCCAGGGGAAGGTTTTCAAGGAATTGGGGAAGAGACACAACCATACGGACTCTTGCAGGATTAGAAAGCAGGAGAAAAAGATTATCTGCGAGACTGGGGGTTCTGGAATGACTGATATATAGGGTAAATGGCAAGATGAGATTTGTCCATTGGATTCCAGGCAGAGAGAGTGGAAGCAGGACTCTGAATACTTGGGGGTAATGGAGGACTCCTTTGTTACCAGTAGAGAGTAGGGGAGATGACTGAGGGGAAGCATGGTCATTTTACATATCTTCAGTGTAAAAGCATACTGATATATCATGTTTCTTTTGAATGTTTAAAGTGACATTACATGGCCTCCCTGGTGGCACAAGGGGTTAAGACACAACCTATGAAGCTATCTGCAATCAGTGCAGCATGAGTTCGGATCTCCTGCCAGGAAGCTGACCCCATGGCACAACAGACCTCTCCTGACTCTCCTGCTGCTCCCCTCAGCAGTCTATTTCAGTAGATCTGTCTGTTCTTTTCCCCACTCTGTCTCTGCTGAATTCTCTCACCCCCACCCCCACACCTCTGGCCTGTACCCCAGTTCTTGTATGCATAAATAAATCTTTTTTTTTAAAGTGACATTACAAAATAACAATTAGAACAGGGAGTATTAAAACTTAAGTTTTTATGTTTACCCAATAATATAGACTCTGATCTCACTGTTCTGTAATCTCTGATAGCATTTTTGGGTAAACATTCCAAAACAAATGAATATAGGCATCATAAGTTCATAAAACGATTTCTTATCAAGTATTGTTGTAATGTGCCCTGTTATTTAAAATATTTTGTAAAGAATAAGCCATATTTGAGAATTGCTCATCCTTAAAAATTGAAGCATAAGACTTATGGAATAATGGACATAGAACCTCCATTTGTTTTATTCTTCCATGATTCCCTAGTGAAGATTTTCTTAGGTTGATAATATGACCTAAGTGTATACAACCTATTAAATTGTACATTACCTAATTACAAATAAAGTCATGTATTTAAGAATTTAACATAGACTAGATGACAATTTGCTGTCAAAAAACTATGTGATCAACCAAATGCAATATATGGACCTTGTTTAGATTCGATTTTAACAATTCTTTGAAAAGACTTTTTTTTTTTAAAGATTTATTCATGCATACAAGAACCTGGGGTACAGGCCAGATGTGTGGGAGGGTGAGAGGATTCACCAGAGTCAGAGCAGGGAACAGAACAGAGAGATTGACCGAAACACATTGCTGAGGGGAGCAGCGGGTGAGGCAGGAGAGGACCGCCAAGCCATATGGGACTCTCACTGGCTGGCCAGGATGGAACCGGTGCTGCAGAGGCTGTGGATAGCTCACAGCGCTGTGCCCAACCACCTGCGCCACCAGGGGAGGCCCTGAAAAGATATTTTTTAAAAAGATATATTTATGCATTCAAGAACTGGAGTACAGGGCCCTCCCCGGTGGTGCAGCGGGTTGAGCACTGTGCTGTGAAGCTGTCCACAGCCTCTGCAGTAAGGGTTCGATTCCCGGTCAGCCAGGGAGATTCCCACATGGCGTGGCAGACCTCTCCTGTCTTGCCCGCTGCTCCCCTCAGCAGTGTATTTCAGTCGTCTGCCTGTTCTGCTCCCTGCTCTGTCTATGGTGAGTCCTCTCACCCTCCCATGCCTCTCGCCTGTACCCCAGCTCTTGTATAAACAATAAATAAATCTTAAAAAAAAAAAAACACTGGGGTACAGGCCAGAGGTTGGGGGCGGGGGTGAAAGGATTCACCAGAGACTGAGTAGGGAGCAGAACAGATTGGATCTACTGAAATACACTACTGAGTGTAGCAGTGGGGCACACAGGAGAGGTCTGCTGCACCATATGGGTAGCTCCCCAGCCAGCCAGGGATGGAGCTGGTGCTGTAGTGGCTGCCAATAGCTTGATAGCACTGCCTTTAACCCCTGCGCCACTGAGGAGACCCTAAAAAGACATTTTGTAACCTCCTCCCAGACCATTTGATACTAGAACTTGTCACATGTGGACAGAACTCAAGAAAACTTTTTGCTTGCAATGTGATTGGCAGGGGGTGGCGGGGGGGGGGGGGGGCGGCAAGGAGGGATAGTAGTGTCTTACTCTGGCCCCAGTAAACTCCACAAAAAGGGTTGGGATTAGAAGTCAAATACCAAAGCCCCCAGACAATGACAGTGAATTCTTCCTTATCTTAAAAATCTTAAGTAGTTAGTCATCTGACTTCCTAATCAGAGCAGCCATCTGATTCTTCGACAGGGGTGCGAAGTGGGGGGAGGCTGAGTCAATCAGACAGCTTGAATTTCTTATCAGTATCTTTGGCTTTCATCTTTTACATTTTAAATTTACATTTTAATATTTCTGTTGAACAGTTGATAGAGATGCTGGATTTATGCATTTGTCTCCTGGAAAGTTATTCTAAAGTGATAGTGCATCTTTCAATCTTGCAGTTGATATGGTAATTAATATATAGCATGCTTTGGAAAATGCTAGATTGGGTCTGTTACCTAAATTCTAGTTGGATTAGTCAATGGCACCTGTTCCAACATGCACTTCCTTGGACAAAATGCCCAATATATTCTGTTTTACACTTACTATCTTTAATGATGTCAAGGGCACTTCATTTAACAAACAATATAGGAATGGCTCAAGGGTGTTTTGTGTGTTGTATCAACTTAGAGCTAAGTAAAAACAACTAACAGAATTAGTACCAGGCATGGACTTTGTAAATTGTCTCTCTTTATCCTCTTTGCTAGAGCCCAGACTTCCACCATCAGAGTAAGGGCCCCTTTTCAAAACTTCTCTCTCTTCCAAATTCCCGCAGATGAGAAGGCTTTAAATGGTCACTTTCATTTCTGGATACAAGAGTGACAAAAGCATGAGAAATTATAATGATGGCTCTTCAATGTATTTGCATGTAAGGATATTATTTTCACACCATCTTCTTTCCACAGGTTTAAAAAATTTGTCTACACATATCGAATCTTCAAAGAGAAGAATGGATATTACAACATACAGGTGAGAGCACACACACACTCCCGCAGCAACAAACTGTTGAGGGAGGAGAACCTGGGATCATCTCCAGAACCCGAGACATGACTTTGTGGAGGTATTTGAAAAGGGGAGCACTGTGAAGAGTTAGTATTGGAGCAACAGTTAACCTTGAGTAACTCTGTTATTCAAAAGTACAGAGATGAAACTTACGTAAGAGACCAGGAAAAAGACTAATCAATACAAAGTAAAAATCAAAATAACAAGCAACTATAAACCAGAGACACACTATGGAGGAGGTGGGGGAGGAAGGACTAGAGTCAAAAAAAGGAGGGGGGGTGCAATTGTATGGGGACTATAACCATAATGAAAATGCATACATTGTGCAAAGATGAAAAATGATGTAAGAATTATATAACATAAAATATTAAAAAAAATAAAATGTGCAAAAGAAAAAAAAAAGTGCAGAGATGCAGAACCCTGGATCCCCTAGTGGTGAAATGCACCAATATAGACTCCCCAGAAGACTAAATAATGACCAGGATGGAGGTGGGAAGGGAAAATGGATGAGAATGTTTAGTAAGCCAAGTGGGCACCACAGTTATAGGAAAATAGATTGAGAGAGCAACAGTCAACTGGCAGTTTTGGGGTTGCTTTAAATTTCTGGTTTACTGAGAGCTAAGAAGACAACTTCCTTTTTGCTATTTTGTATTTACTTCTCTGGCATAGGAAGTAGAGTATAATAAATGCATTTAAATTGTTAATTACCAACAGAGAATTCTGAAATAATCTTTCTGCAACACTCACATATAAGGCTAAGGCAGAGTTTTTACTGCAAGATTTCTCAGAATCTTCAATATGCTAATGTTTATTAGTACTATCTGAAATTAGACTATACAGTGATCTTCATTTCATGTATGCACAGGCACATATAATTTTTCATTTGCTATCAAGGACATTACTGAGGTAATGACAAAACATGAATAAAGTGCATAGATTAGTCAATAGTAAAACATCAAGATTAACTTCTTCATTTAAACATTGTGGTCTGGATATGTAAGTTCCCTGCTTTTTAGAAACACTGAAGTATTTAGGGCTCAAAACTTATGAACACAACTTACTCTGAAAAAAAATTTTAAATAATATATATGTATATATTTTAGAAAGGAAGAGAATGAAAAGCAACTATGATAAAATGCTAACATTTGGGATGTGAATGAAAAATGTATATGGAAGTTAAAAAAAATCTTTGCAACATTTCAAGTCTGAAATGACTTCAAAATAAAATTCTTTCTTAAAAAACCCAAGTTATTTTAAAATATTTATTTCTTGGTTGTACATACTTTGGGAAATCCTGCGTAATTTCCTATACTCTGTTTTGTCTCTTGTCTGGACAAAGCAGAGAGACAACCAAATCAGTTATAACTCAGACCCAGGGGAATTTCACCGAGAAGCCTCCGTGCTGGCACTCAGAGGCCTGGAATGGCTCATGCCTTGAGTTGACGTGACTTTGATGGCCTTATGTGGGACCTCCCTGCAACAGACTTCAAAGTCAGCCTGCATCTCTCTTACAGAGGTTAACCACACAGCAAGTTAGAGAACTTGCTGTTCCCCACCCCTTTCTGTAGTCTAACACAATTACCATATGCAAACCACAGTGATCATCAAGAAAACCAAATACATAAAAGCAAAGGAAGCAAACTTTGTTGTAAAATTATTTCTGTAAGGTTAAAGACAAATACCGGATGGTGTCACTTAATATGTGGAAGGAATATAGAGAAACCAGACAATGGATCAGAGATAGTCAAATTCAAAAGCTAAACCTTGAAAACTATCTGTAGAACTGAGGCATCTGGAGAGGTTGGAGGGGGGCAGTGGTGAGAACAAAATGGGGAGGAGTATCATGGAAGATGGTGGTGGACTATGGGTGCTTTGGTGATGGGTGTGCTAAGGTAATAGCACCTGAAGGGGGGAACCCTCTAAGTCCAAAATACAAACAACAATGTAAACCAATGTTAGCTTAAAAAAAAAAAGCTGTTTTTAAAGCTGGTAAACAGAAGACTGTTTACCATTTACCTAAGTCACATTGCCATTCCTATTCAATTTGCTGAAATTTTCTGTCTTTTCATCATGTATGTAAATTGCATATTTTGCATTCCCATGAGAAGTTTACCTGTTCCCCCCCTATGATAGCAAAGCCTGCTGGCAAAGCAGTCTGAAACAAGCCCTTTTTTCCACTATAACTTTTATATATTTTTTTCTTTTTATGTTTATATATTTTTAAAGATTTATTTATTTATACAAGCACTGGGTACAGTCAGAAGCGCAGGAGGGTGAGAGAATTCACCAGAGCGGGGAACAGAACAGGCAGACTGATGAAATACACTGCTCAGGGGAGCAGGGGCGCGGCAGGAGAGGTCGGCTTGCCATGTGGGACCCTCACTGGTGGCCAGGGATCAAACCAGCGCTGCAGAGGCTGCGGGCAGCTTCGCAGCCCAGCGCTCAACTGCTGCGCCACCAGGGGAGGCCCTATTTATATATTTTTTACATCGTTCATTTTTTTTATTTTAAAGATTTATTTATTTTTATACAAGAACCGGGGTATAGGCCAGATGCGCAGGAGGGTGAGGATTCACCAGAGACAGAGCAGGGAACAGAATAGGCAGACTGACGAAATACACTGCTGAGGGGAGCAGCGGGGAGACAGGAGAGGTCTGCCCAGCCATGTGGGATTCTCGCTGGCTGGCGGGAATCGTACCTGCACTGCAGAGGCTGCGGACAGCTTCACAGTGCAGCGTTCAATGGCCTGTGCCACCAGGGAGGCCCACATCATTCAATTTTAAACAATGTTTGCTTCCACCTCCTCAGATATAGTCCCCATAGAATTTCCTTCACCAATGCACCCGTGCACCATTACCTCAGTCCCCTGTGCTCCTCCCTCCCTTCCTCTGATCCCTCTCCCTCCTTCTCCCCTGCAGGATGCCTCTGGTTTATATTTGTCTGCTGAACCAACTTTTTAAAGGAGTACCTCCACAACTAGTTATGAGAACATCCAGAGGCAGGGGGCTCACTCAATGCTGCAGGCTGAGGCGGGGCTGTGCAGCCCTCCAAGTGTGAGTCCTCCACCCCAGCAGCTCAAGGCAGAGGTCTGTCTTAAAAAACGAGCATTTCCGCACATTTTAATCCATGTGAGCTCTTAAACATAAACTGCGGCCACTTGTTTTCAGTTTGCCAGGTCGCAGGCAGCCTTGAAAACCACTGTTGTAAGAAGTGTCACATTTCACACAACTGCAGGCAAGTGAGTGATCTCCTTCTTGTTTTCTTGCAGACTGCAGAAGGTGCCAAAAAACAGACCTTTTCAAGCCTAAAGGAATTGGTCTCCCGATATGAAAAACCAAATCAAGGGCTGGTGGTACACCTTTTAAAGCCAGTAAAAAGAAGCAGTCCCTGCCTGAGATGGAGACGCTCGAAATTAGATTTGGAAGAGACATATGGTAAAAATCCTCATGCAAGGGGTATCGGAAAGGAATCCCCATCCCACCTCCCCCATTGTCCCACTTTGTAGAATCAATACAGATACACGCCCTTTCCTATGATGTGAGCTCTAAGATGTGCCATCATAGTCGGCGCATGCATGCTCAGTCTTGCTGGGAAGTGGTGTCCTGAGTTCCTGGAGGTGCCCAGCTTTGGGGCTTTCTGTGTCTGGACAGTCAGAAGACAGGGGTGTCCTGGGGGGTTCTGCGAGAACTGACTTCAAACTCATGCTGTGACCTTGCACAAACCACTCAGGTGTGGGACCAGATGGAAAAACAGGCAGAATTTTCATTTTATTTCTGAGTTTTATTTATTTGCCAATTGTTATACAACTATATCATTTTGGGATGACTTCATTCTTTATATGTGCACATGCTTCACTCACCTTCCACCAAAGCTCCACCAATACCTGATCCCCTTCCCTCCCTTATCTGCTTCTCCCTCCCCCCACCCCATCTAGTCACTAGCACATGTACAGAGTCAAAGGATTATTTTTGTTGTGTTTTTTAGGCAGAACTTTCAAATGAGAGCACTGCTTCAATCCCTTCCCAAGACTCATCCTGTTATACTTTGCTCAAGATTTGTGAAGCATTCATTAGGGGGACAAGTCAGACATTTGTATATTATTAGTTATAATTCATGAAGTAGTGCTAGGAGACAAAGTATTTCAGATATACCCCTAAAGGTATTAAGACATGGTAGAAAAATGAGAGACTCTTGATGCATTTGAGGTCCTGTGCTGGGTGAGCTCTCTTAAATCACATTCCAAGCAGCTGCTCTTGATTACCTATGGCACTGCCCCCTTGAAACCCGTTTTCAGAAAAGAATCTAGTATATACCAGCTACCATGTAATTTGAACTTAACTAAGACTTCCTGGGCTATTCCTCACTTAACCCTTTTCCTCATGGTGGAATGTACGGTTCTCGTCCCGGTTAAAGAGACTTTGGCTGTCAGCAGGCAGGTGATGGTGATGGGAGATGGGCTGGCTGGAGAGAAAGGCAGACAGTCAAGTCTGGAAAGCCTGCAATGCCCCTGCCCCCCAACCCTCCTCCTTTGCCATTCACCCTGCCCCTCTCCCTCCCTGTAAAGGGAACCATGGGTTTGTTTGTGTGTATATATATATATATATTTTTTTAAAGATTTTATTTGTTTGTTTATTTATTTATACAAGCATCAGGTACAGTCAGAAGCATGGGAGGGTGAGAGAATTCACCAGAGCCAGAGCAGGGAACAGAACAGGCAGACTGACTAAATACACTGCTGAGGGGAGCAGCGGGCGGCAGGAGAGGTCTGTGCGCCATGTGGGACCCTCGCCGGTGGCCGGGGATTGAACCGGCGCTGCAGAGGCTGCAGGCAGCTTCGCAGCCCAGCGCTCAACTGCTGCGCCACCAGGGGAGGCCATTATATATATATATATATAAAGATTTATTTATTTATGCATACAAGAACTGGGGAACAGTCCAGAGGTGCGCGGGAGGCGGGTGGTATGAGAGGATTCACCAGAGACAGAGTGGGGAGCAGAACAGGTGGATTGACTGAAGTACACTGCTGAGGGGAACAGCGAGCAAGTCAGGATAGGTCTGCTGCTGGCAGGCTTGGGCATGGGGGGTGGGGGTCAAAATTGTGCTGCAGTGACTGGCAATAGCTTGATAGCACTGTCTTTAACCCCTGCGCCACCAGGGAGGCCCAAGGAAGCAGGGTTTATAGTGATTAAAAGAAAACCCACTCCTCTGCCATTATTTCTGTCCCCTTCTCTGCCAGCCACGGACATTTGCTCCCATGGAAACGCAAAGCCATGTCCTATCGGCTCAGTTCAGGCACAGACCCATAGACATTTACCACCAGAATTTACAGGAAAGAAATGTGTAAAAGAAGCGGAGCTAGACCCCAGGAATGTCCCTATGCTGCAGCCCTCAGGCAAACCCAGAGAGTTGCTGGTGCTGTGGGCTGGCTGGGTGGTGACGGTACCTGCCTCATCAATAATAAGATCACAAATCCCAAAAGTAAAACCCTTTTGAGCTCCTCCTCAAGACATGGGTTTGACCACACAGACTTTCCATGCTTGGTCCATCTTGGCAGGGTGAGCACCCCACTCCTCAGCCACCAAAGGAGGTATATCCTCCTGGGGAGCTCCTCTTCCCTTCAGCTCCTCAGAAGCAGCTTCGGCTGTTCTGAACAGTTGTTTTCACTCTGAGGGAGGCACAGGTTTTTTACTGATCAGCAGAGGCAGCTGGGGCTGAAACTCTGGTGCTTATAGACACCCCCCCGTTTTGCCAGGACGGTCCCCTGTGGTGCCCTGGAAGATGTCCCTTTGATGAGGCAAGGCCTTCTTCCCCTTGAGTGGGGTTGGCCAACACAACTCCTGAGAGGTGAACCTCACAACTGCTCTGTCTTCTGCTTTTTCTCCAGATAAGAAGGGTGAGGATTATGAGAACTGCAGCAGCAATTACGTGAACAGTAACACTGTCTATGGGCACAGCGGCAGCGAGAGTGTCTACTCGAACAGCAGCGGTGAAGATGTGTACAGTGGCAACGATTATGTGCATGTCTTGCCTTGAAGATGAGAAAATGTGGGGTGACAGTTCTCACAACATCCCCACTTCTTCCGTGGGTGTCGTCTGGATGCCAAACTGTACGGGACAATTCAGATTCTCGTAGACTGGGTGATCGAGACACTGTCCCCCAGCCTCTGAGAGAAATCCCTCCCCATGTCCCTGTTCCAGGCTCCCACCATGAGCAGCTCCAAAACCACTTTCCCCTCTTTTCCTTCTGTTTTGGAATGAGGCAACTTGAACCTATTCTCCTCGACTTGTTCAGGGTTCTCCCACTATGTCATGGTTGGCATCTTCCTTCCTGCCAGGTAATCAGAAGAGAGCACACGTGGCTTCAACTCAGCAACCCGAGCTTCCGTCCTGTGACCTTGGCAATTTGGACACACCTCTTCCCTTCCAGGTCTCCATTTCTTCACCCACAAAACAAGTTTCTGGGCGGGGTGATTTAGTCTCTGCTGAGTCTGGCTGTGTCGGGTGGAGTGAGGGAGTCCTGGAGTGCTGGAGATGTACGCACGAGCAGCAAGGGATCTGAGTTCCAGCCCCCAAGGCTCAACACATTCTCTGCACCTGCCTGGACTGCTTGGCCTGGGTGGGGAGCTCTGACTCCCCATCCATCCTCCGCCCTCCAGCCTGGGCCATTTGCCTTCTAGCTCTTCTTACTAATTTTGATTTTCCTGCCCAACTTTTCCCTGTTCACACTCTCTCCCTGATTTTGCCTAAATTTCATTTATGCACCGAGCACTTCAGCAGCACGCTGTGGTTCTGCAGTGATGTAAGTGGGGATTCTATAGATAGTCTTCCATGTGTGCTTCCTGTTCTCAGCTAGGTTCTGGGTATGCCACCAACGCTTGTTTGGAGATAATCTTTCCTCCACAGTCGTAAAAATGTATGAGCCACAGAGCTGTGATCAGTTCAGAGAAGTGACTGACTACAAGCACATTCCTGATCGGCTTCTTGCAATAGTTGTAAGTTCTGCTAGTTCAAAAGATAAATTAACGTCATCGAGGAATGTACCAATTCTATGTCCGTCCTCTTCCCCAACTTCACAGCATAGCGATTCATCTCTCCCCACTGGCTTTATCTTCTAATGTTATTAGAGAGAGGAACTCTACATTTCCAGATGACATGAAACAGAAAATGCAGAGACAAAGTGTGAGCCTGTGAGTTCTCGGGCCACAGCAATCCATGGCTATGACCAAGCAGAGAAATGAAATGAAGCCACATTCAGAGTGCTGAGGAAGCACTGGGCTGGTGCAACAAAGGACGCCTAAGCAAGCCAGCTCCATGGGGGGGTGGACCCACGTCATTAATCCTCTCTTCATGACAAAAAAACAATGTCTAGTTCTAATACTTACTGCAATCCTTGGCACTGAAAATAAATGCCTGTGCCTATTTCTGGAATAAATCAATATATAAAAGGTGGTCACTCATTCTGCATGGCAGAGATGTGAGTTTTATAGATTTCGAAATCCAGTAGGACCAAGCAATTAGTTCAAGGTCTTCCCATTATAACCTCTCACAGAGGTGGCTTCCTTTCTGAGCACCATGCACAGTGACTTGCATGCTGCCTGGTCCTCAGTGGGTCTCAACAGTGCCCAGACAAGTAAGCCACACTGAATAGCAGACAATGATGTTATGCTATGAATCCTTGAACAGGCCGTGTGAAGAACAGCAGAAAGATCTGGGTATGTTGGACTGAAGGAAGACAAAGTACAACAGTCATTTCAAGCATTTCAAATGCTCTTCCATGAAAGAAGGTATAGAGTCACTGGGTACAAAGCCAGACTGTGGAAGGGACTCACACCAATAGGTGTTTATAACAGGGTAGTATTAGCCAAGTGTAAGAAAGCAGTCTGAGCCCATTAGAGATAGTGTACTCTCTGCCCTGTGTATGGACTTCCTTGCCATAGTTCAAGGGTGATGTTTTCCAAGGATTTGGAAGATGGGAGAGAAGATGAAATTCTTCCTCCCCTGTGAAGAAATCAGACTCCCTGAATGCTAAAGCGTCTCCAGTTCAAGGACCACTGGATTCTACTCTTAATAACTACAGTGGGAAAATCTCTTTCTTCTCACTCCCGCCTCTCACATAGTTCAGTTAGTCACACTCCTTAACTATTAATTCATTATCACCACCAATTTATATAAGACCCTTCTTTGATTTCACTTTTCTTTCTTTCATCCTCATCCCTACTTCCCATTCCAGTGCTCACTCTCCCCCATAGAGACCAGTTCAATGCTGTTTGTATGTACCTTTATGGAATGTATAGTAGTGTTCGTGAATGTATCTTTTACAGGTATATACACAAAATGCACTATTGTGCCGATGATGCTATTACTTTCTTTCACTAATACTATTTGGCTCTATTTTAAATCACTGAGTGGAATTCAGTGCCTCTAACTGAGGCATGCTATTCCATAGTGTGCTTCTACCACATTTTGCTTATCTTTTCCTCTACAGATAGACACACGTCTAGGTTGGTTCTAGTTCCTGGCTGCCAGAAAAGCACTGTGAGGCGCAAACTTGAAGGAGTCCCTTTATGTATCACAGTTTCAGAGAAAGTATCAGAGAGTTTCTCTGGACTAGGGTAGATTACAAAACATGCTCATATTTACTTATGATGTAGTCAAACCCATCTGCAACATTTTTGATTCCCGTTTAATAAGCCCTTCTCCACTTTAAGATCATGCAGAAACAACTATTCTACATGTTCTTCTGCTGCATTTATGTGTTCATTCTCTAAGGTTAGGGTTTTCATAATAAAGATATTTGCCTTTTTGCTGACATATCCCCAGTGTCTAGAAAAGACCTTCACACATCATATTCAATAAATATTTGTTGATAAATGAATCTGAGGTTAAACATTGAATATGTAAGAGATAAGGGTCCAACTTTGTATTTCTCCATGTATATTTCCCATTTCAACCTGCTTGTTAATTCATTTTCCACCCCTTTGATTTATGGTTCTTCCTTTATAGCATAAGGGTTCTAATACTCTGACTTTGTAATGCCTTATTGGATAAGCATCCTCTCCTTATTTTTCAAAACTCAGTTGTTCCTGAACCTTGACTTTTCCGTATATGTTAAGTAGTTCAAGACATCTTGCTGAAATTTTGAATGAACTTGCACCAGTTTGTAATTGGGGAGAACTGATATTCTTGTGATATTTTATAAAACAAACATGCTACATCTATTAACTTGCATCACTTTTGTTCTTTACTAAAACACATTTTCACCATAGAAGACTTGTAAATCTGTTTGATGAATTCCTATGTCTTATATTATTAGCAGACTATGGCAATAGCAAAGTGTGCTCTCAATAGCAAAATGTGCTCTCATCTACTGGTTTGAATTATATATTCTATATTGTTGATATTATCAGTTGTAAATATTTTTTCTTTCCTTCCAACACCTATGCATCTTCTTTTCTGTTTACTTGATTGTCTGGGACCTCCAGTATACAGTCAATAGTGGCCATGAAAGTGGATGTTAATGTGTTGTTACCAGTATTACACAAAGTGCTTAGAAATTTTCTTCATTTAAACATATTTGTTCTAGCCCTTAAAGGCTTTGATGAGAAATGTTTTGAAATTTATTGTGATTTGTTTTTGCATCTATTGAAAGTCACACTCCTTTTATCTTTGTTCCATTGTAGTTGTAAGTTACATTAATAAAATGCTAATATACCATATTTGCATTGCTTAACTTGATCATGTTTTATTATAATAAAGTGTTGGGTTTAGTCAGTTAATATTTCATGAAAGATTTTTGCATTAAAAATCTTAAATCCAATGCGACTCTAGCTTACTAAATCATGGTTACATTAATCATATAAATTGAGTCAAGCAGTTCTTTTTCTACTTTCTGCAACACCTTTGTAAGATAAGATTGCCTGTTCCTTAAAAGCTTATTAGTGATGGAGGACAAGAATAGAAAAAAAAAATGAAAAGGAGGTGCACCACAAGACCAGAAACCTGGCTCACACAAGGAGGTGGGGGTAGAAGAGATTAGCATAGCCATTGACTCAGCTATGGAAACCAAGATCCTTAGGCGCAGAGGACATTTGTGGAAACTAGTAAAACTAGTATCCTTAGGCATGTATCCTTAGGCGAGGATGCCTAGATTACAAAGCATAACATCCAAGCAGGTATCCAAGGGGGAGGGCACACCCAAAAGTAATGATATGGAGATTGAGCCCATTGTGGAATCTCGGGTCCCTTTCAAATTCTACATAGTTATCCAAAATTAGCAACCAACTGACAGCTCACAAGGAGTGAGCCCCTCCCAAACAGAAGACGACTATATCAGTGCAGTCTCTGCAGTGGCTAGGGGCAGCACTCCCACTGCCCACCTGTGACTATGCGGGTGACTCTTCTCATCAACTCTCTCCCTCTGTGGGGCAGCAGCTTCCTGCCTTGCCCGTGACCTGTCAAGTCCGCCCACCTGCAACCAGGCAGGCCTCTCTTAGCAAACCTGTCCCTTCTGGGGCAGCTCTTCCTGCCAGCTTGTGTCTCTGCAAGCATCTCTAGCTGTTTTATCCCTTCCCTAATAAACCTGCCCTCTAAATATAACTAAAGTCTCTGTCTCATGGAGAAACTCACCTGGGAAACTGGCCGTGTGTCACTGAAACGGTAGCTCTGGTGAAACCTTTCCCAGAGTGAACCCAAGGACCCTGCACTCCAAACCCACAGACTCCAAAAACTACAATTAGTACTCTCTTATAAAACCAAATGCAAGGCTTTGGTGAAGAGAGGGAGGGAAATCTTTTACTACTGTAACAGGGTGGTCCCCAGGAAAGGGGGAGTTTCCCTGCCCCACCCAAGGGAGGGTGGAGCTGAGCAGGAAGAGGAGAGATTGTAACAGGGTGGTCCCCAGGAAAGGGGGAGTTTCCCTGCCCCACCCAAGGGAGGGTGGAGCTGAGCAGGAAGAGGAGAAGCTGCAGAAGAGACTGAGGAAGGAAGGAAGCAGGATGGAGCCAGGAGACCTGGAGGAGGCGCATGGAGCCTAGAGACACGTGAAGAAACTGCGCTTGTCTTTTGGTCGTGGACTGGGTGAC